AAAAATACTGAGTTGATAATGCAAGGTTGAGTGTGAGATGATAGTTCATGCCATGGCAAACCTTTTAGTCTAGAAACCAAACCAATGTGACACTCATAAAATGATGGCATCTTTCCTCATGCAATCTACAATATTTGCTTCATGCATTACAAGTGTGTTCTTAAAGTTTAAAGGACAAAAGAATCCGCTGTTTGTTTTTTTTTATATGTAAATGTTCAGCCCTGCTGTTGAGCTTTTCAGAGGGTTGCCCTGAAAAGGAACCAGGGGTCTTTTTATTCAATATCACAGTATCACGGTCCTCCCGTTGTTCATCGATTTGCTCGAGCGGGCCCAGTAACGTTTCCATCATGAGACTTGTTGTTACTGTGTTTGGCATATCGAGTATGTCACGGGTAGATTGCCAGGCTCTGCCGTGTGGGCGAGATACTCTCAGTAGCTTGCCAGGCTCTCTGAGAGGGGCGGAGGAATCGAACTCAAGTCAGCCATGTTGGCTGCGTGCAAGGCAAACGCCCTACCACTGTGCTATCGCTCCAGCCCTTATTCAATATAACAATCTAAATATTTCTGATACAAGAAAAACATCTGCACAAATGCAAGTGTAGGAAAAAATTAGATCTGAAATCAAAATGTGGAAGCCCTTTCTGGTTTCACAAAATAATTTAAAAAAAATTTTTAGGGCCAGAGAGACAGTACAGTGGTAGGGTATTTCCCAGACCTGTCAAGAGTGACCCCTGATTTCAGAGCCAGGAATAATCCCTGAGCACACCAAGTGTAAACTGGAAAACTACTGCTGCTTCTGCTGCTGCTGCTGCTGCTGCTGCTGCTGCTGCTACTACTACTACTACTACTACTACTACTACTACTACTACTACTATCTCCTTATAAATTTGAATATTTAAATTATAGCTAGTCTTCATTTAATGTCTTCCATAGTTTCTGGGAAACTCCGACTTTAAATAAAATTATGTAGATGGGGTTGGCTTTATTTTTTTTCAATAGTATAAAGAACTGACATGTACTAAAATATGTTAATTAACCTGCTATATTACACCTGAGTGGTATGTGCCCACCATTTGGTATACCACATGTCAATAATACTGCTCCCTGATTCTAAAAGTGTGCATCCCCTGTCCCCCAAATTCATTTGTTAAATTCAGTTATTCCATTGATGCTATTTGGAAATGGGGTCTTCAAGAGGTGAATAGTGTGGATGGTGCCCTCATAAATAACATCAGTGACCGCAGCAGAAGCTTGTTTTTACCAGACACTAAGATTCCCTGTGCTCTCCTAGTATTTAGAATTGTGAATTTTAAATAATAAATAATTTAAAATAAAATAAATTCATAAGTAGCACTGTCCTCCCATTGTTCATTGATTTGCTCGAGTGGGCCCAGTAATGTCTCCATCGTGAGACTTGTTGTTACTGTATTTGGCATATCGAATACATCATGGGCAGCTTGCCAGGCTTTGCCATGTGGGTGAGATACTCTCGGTAGCTTGCCATACTAAAAATAATTACAAATAATTGTGAATTGTTTAGAATTGTGAATAGAATTGCAAATTCCGATTATTTGAAATCTTCTCTCTCCTCTCATTCAGAATTGTAAGAAATAAAAGTGTGTTCTTTATAAGCCACCCTGTCTACAGGATTTGCTGTAGCAACCAGAAGGGGTCTAGGCAGCATCTGAGTAACCTTTTGACTGGAACAGAAACCCACACTCTCAGGTCAGAGTTGACTGGTCCAACCAAGGAAACACTGAAGAATTCAGCTGTGTCTTGGGTCTGTCAAACAACTTGAACTATTTTCAAACCTTTTGGATTCAGTAAAACTGAAAACTTATTTTGCCAAGCACTTTCACCCTTAATTTTTAAACCCATGTGTGTTTTAAGAGAAATTTAATCCATATGTTTCTGATTCATTTACACTTAAATCATCAAAATGTTGTTTTGTAAGAGCTATTTGATGTCCAAGGTTTTCTGAGCTTTGTAAACCTCTTTTCTTAGAAACAGAATGTTGTGTTTTGCCAGAGATTTGAGTCCTGGTCGAAATGCCAAGACCAGTAGGTTTTAGAGGGTTCCACATTTACCACAGAAAACTTCCACTTATGATCAACACACAACAAAACTAAACCCCAGAGGCCGGTTGACACTCTTCACTTTATCGTGATATTTATTTTCTCTTCAGTTCATGTTGTAAGAATGTGCTACAGGGCTTGAAGTTTTGTTATATGCCTACGATTTTCTCTAGTGGGAAGACTCTACAAGGTTTTTGTAACCTGGGGGATTGCTCACTCAGAGCAGTCAAATTACAAAGCAAAGCACAAAACACAGACTTCTGAAATGCAAAACATATATTTAATTGTGAAAGGCAAACTTTTAACATTTCCACAGTTCTTCACAAAAGGTGTTACTCTATCTCTCCATCTTTAACCACATAATCAATAACAGAAATGTACTTTAGAAATAGACAGCTGTTAACTGAAACCCTCTGTAATTTTTATTTGTTTGGTTGATTAGTTTTATTTGTTGGTTTGGTAGAGTTTGGGAGTTATACCTGTGGTGTTCAGGGCTTACTCCTTGTTCTGTGCTCAGGGATGACTCCCCGCAGTGCTCAGATTTCCCAATATAGGAAATATATGCCATATTGGGAATATAATTGGGATAAGCCACATGCAAGATAAGTGCCTTAACATCTGCACCACCTCTCCAGCCCCTCTGGGTCAAAGAAATATTAACTGTCAATTACTTTAAAAATATTAAATGTAAGAAATACATTTTCAAGAGTATCTCCAGTGATTAGAAGTAATAACTCAGAAAGCTCTCAGGCAATATGGTGTTTTTAAGCTATTTAGTAATCAGTTTTAGGGGCCTTGTAAAACACATTGCATCATGTGTTGCACGAGCAATGAAGCACAAATACATCTTAAAATAATTAAGGGTAGAATTTTCTTCCAGTCATTTATTAATTGTTTTTCTTTAAGTTCTTATAAAATACTCTATAAATCGTTGTCCAGATTTTAAACTTCTGATTTACAGAACATTCTGCTCCTTGTTTTTTAGACACTTTACAAGAAAAAAGCAAAATCACTTGCGGTTTGGAGTCTGACAGGTTTTCTGATATTTCTTCTTCTTTTGGCTGAACTTTTTGATAAAAATGAGATGCTGAATATTGTGAAACCTGAATGGATTCTGTCCTCAAATTTTGCATTTTAGTGATTCTCGCAAACTTGACTTTCAAAAAGCTTAAAAGATACTGTTACTTTTAACCAATTTTAAAGTGTTTGATTTTATTATTTTTTTCTTTAATTGCTCATGTAACCTACAGTCTTCTATTCATTAAAATGGTTTTACAAATGACTTAAGGCCTGTTGCTTTGACAAATAAAAAACAGGCTTATTATTCTGCCTATAATTGAACAATAATTACAATGTTGATTATCTTTTGTTGGGCTTGCTTAATAAAGCCCTAAATAGTTTAGTGGGATTTATAGCTTCCAGGATTTGAACAAGAGGTCATAGAGGTCTTTACTTTTTGCCAGCTGACCTTTTGTTTGAATTTAAATTAACCCAATTTGTGCTGCCTTTTATATCTGTTCTCAGATTCAAGTCTGCACAGTACATTATAGACCTCTACAGCTGTCTAACAAAGTTGGTTTTATTTTTTTAATTAAGTTTAATTTAACTATATAAGTGATTTTTTAAAGATTTTCTGGCATTAATCACTGCTAGCATAGATATGTAGATGAGTTAGGAATTAGATCACCAATATACTTTAATAAATACTGAATTGCTCTCTGCCTGCTTCAAAGTAGTGATTGTTGAAGGCCAGAAAAGTTTTGGGGGGTTTTTTGGTGTTTTTTTATTTCCACACTCTAGTTTTTTAAATTCAAGCTATGACTGAACTTGTTTGGGGTTTTTTTTCATTTGTGCTATTTTTTTAATTTGGGGGCCACACTGTCAGAGCTCAGGCTTTAGTCCTGGCTCTGCACTCCTGGATCATTCTGAAGGGCTTGGGGGACCATACCAAGGTTTGAACCCAGGTCGGCCACATACAAGGGAAACACCCTACCCACTGTACTGTCCCTCTAGCCCTAAGTTTGTTTTTAACAAGGAAAACTGGATAAAATGGTATGTAAATCTGATTATTACAGTCATGACTAAGTATTTGGAAAAAAACATTCCTTGTCATCTCATATAATGTTTTCTCAAGAAAAACATTCCTTGTCATCTTGATTCCTTGTCATCAAGACCAGTAGGAAAAGTCATATGCCATTGTATTACTATTCCCATTTTAATTGTTTCACAATTAGTTCTAGTATTTATCGCTCAACATGGTGAAAATCTTACACGTACCAGCTTTTGCCTCTTTGGTTTTGCAAGATTAGTTGCATGGGGGATAGAGGGTTTGGGGAGGCCGTATTTAGCAACGCTTAGAGGTTAGTTCTGGCTCTGTGCTCAAGAGTGACCCTTGGAGGTACTCAAGGGACCATATGCAGTATCAGGGATCAAATTGGAGTCAGTCGCATGCCAGACAAGCATCTTCATCCTGTACTATATCTCTCTGGCCCCTCTATGTACCTGGTCTCATAGAAATAAAAGAAACTTGGCCTCTCTCTTCAGTGTCAAGATAAAAATACTGTCTTATCTTTCATCATTATGAATTTCCATAGACACAGACCTGAGAGTATTTGTTATCCTTATGTATCACTGTACTACTAGGACAGAGCTTCATTAAAAAAATTAATAAGGGAAAGCCCAGTGGTAGGGCGTTTGACTTGTGCACAGCCAGCCCGGCCAAGCAAGGTTCCATTCCTCTCCCCTCTTGGAAAGTCCGGCAAGCTAACAAGAGCATTTCCCCCACACGGCAAAACCAAGTCCGTGACGTATTCAATATGCCAAACACAATAACAAGTCTCAAAACGGAGACGTTACTGGAACCGCTCAAGCTAATCAATGAATAACGGGAGGACTGTGCCTAAGAATAACAGTTTTTTTACCAAGACCACTCAGACTGCATCCTCTTCAACTCACTCTTCTGATGGAAGAGAAGAATGAGGATCGATGTTTATAAAATGGAGTTGCAAAAGCAACACTTAGAACCAACTTCACACTCAGAAAAGGATACCCTAGCTCCTCTTCATGGTTTCAGTTGTTCTACAAGATCTGAGAAAATCTAACTTCTCTAGTAACCAATGCAGAAATGATCCCTGAAAGTATAATCTACCTTTTGACATCTTAAAAATTCTTTGACTTTTCCTTATTAAATAGTAACACCTCCCATGGATGGAGAATGTGTGTTTGGATTCTTAGGTCTAGCTCAGCTCCTGGCATTATAGCATCAACAGTTCACCTCCTACTGATAGGATCCTAACATTGTATTCACTGTACTGTACTGAATGTACAATAGTTTGACAAATGTTTAGATGTTTGCTCAAACAACTTCAACTCTTATTTGTCAATGTGAGAGAAAACCCAGTACGGCTTAGAAGGTTCTGGACTTGTTCAAGTGTTTCAGCATTGTTTTAGTAATTGTTAAGTACTCGGAAAATCCCCAGTATCTTAACTGTATCTAAAGCATATCTCTAAAACTGGGATGATCCTTATCTCAAAAAGGTTGGTCTGTTAGTTTTTTGATGAGGAATAAGGGAGATAAAAGCTCAAGGCACAGTGTCCAGCACACAGAAAGAAAAGATTAAACATTAATTAGATAAAAAGCAGAGGAAAGCAGCCACCATTCCTTTTAGCAACTCTTGTGATGCCCTCAGCTGTTTCCTGGAAAATCAAAACAAACGAGATGCAATTCCCGCTCGTGAAGAGCTTAGTTATATTTGCTACAGTCAAGGAACAAGACAGCGCATTACTAATTATCTGTCCCAGATTTCATCTACCACATAGTATCCTACAAGCCACAGACTCAGATCAGTGTAGAGGACAATTGTCAATCAGAATAAAAACTCTATTTACACATGTTTTCTGACAATTCCAGATGGATAAGGTTCATTACTTTTATACAAACTATTAAAAATCAACTCTTCTAATTTTCTAAGTATGCCATTTTTATTATGTTTGTTCTAAAGAAAAACAGTATTAATTCTGCTATTTACTTCTGCGTATTTGTGTAAATATCTTTGTGTGTTTTTCATTTGATAATGAATGGAAAGCATTGAATATAGCTTAGACCAAACTTTTCAAATCTGTTCTATTTCAAACATTCTAGTTTTTTATTACTCAAGCTACTGGCTTTTACAACCATTAATTAATCATTGCAGCCTTGCTCAAGTCCGTGCTCTTCCTTGACCATATATCTCGCTTGCTTGTCTCTGTGTTTCTTTGCTGACCTATTTCCACTCTAGAGAAGCCTGTGTTCTCTCTTGAACAAGTACTTCTCCCTCTCTCATGCCTAAAGAGAAACAAATACAAAAAATACCAAGATTCATGATTAAAGAAGACAAAACATTTAATTTTTTTACAAAAAAAAAAAAACATTTAATTTAATTTTCAAAGTCAAGAAAAGGGACCCAAGAGCTAGTAAGGCAAGGAAGGTGCTTTCCTTACAAGCTGTCAAACCGGATTCACCTCATACACTGCTAAGAGTAACTTTCTATGGAGAGCCAGGATTAAGCCCTGGGCTACAGCACCAAAAATGAAAATAAAAAACAAAAAAGGCTGACAACAGTACAATACAATACTGTTGTCAATGAGTTTAATAATGAGTATTGAGCCTAATATTCAGTACTGCAGGTAGGGTAGTTTCCAGCCTAGGTTCAATCCATGGCACCCCCATAGGGTCCCCCAGACTCCATCAGAGTGATTTCTGAGTGTACAGCAAGTAGTAAATCTTGAACATCACTGGTATTACCCAACAACCAAAACACTTTTTTAAAAATAAGTCTTTATTAGGGGCTGGAGCGATAGCACAGCGGGTAGGGCGTTTGCCCTGCACACGGCTGACCCGGGTTCGATTCCCAGTATCCCATATCCCCCGAGCACCGCCAGGAGTAATTCCTGAGTGAAGAGCCAGGAGTAACCCCTGTGCATCATTGGGTGTGACCCAAAAAGCAAAAAAAAGTCATTATTAATATTTATATTTATCTGAGGATAAAAATTTGCAATGCAATGCATGTATTGAAATTCTTTCTATAATAACAATCGAATTACTGATGATTATTCTCCACTTTAGAGTACTTTCATCTCTTTGTTACATATTTCACAATATATTAGTTTCTATCATGACTTTTAATATTGAAATTCTAGCTCTGCAACTTACACAATATATAACTGGAAGAAATATTTGACTTATGTTTAAAAACACAAGTTTCTTTTTCCTTTACAAAGTACAGCCAATGAAGCTGAGTGATAGCATAACAGGTAGGGAGTTTGCTTTGCACACAGCAGACCCGGGTTTGATTCCCATCATCCCATATGGTCCCCTGAGCACCGCCCGGAGTAATTCCTGAGTACATGAGCCAGGAGTGTGCAACGCCAGTGTGACCCCCCCCCCCAAGAAAAGCATAGTCAGTAATAGCAACCTAATAATATTTTAAGTTGTAATCCAGTAGTTTTTTATATTTTAATTAACAAAGAAAATATTGAGGAGCCAGAAAGATAGTAAAGGAGCTGCATACAGTCTCCTGAGCACTGCAAAGAGTGACCCCTGAGCACTACCAAGTGTAACAAAACATCCTTCTCTTTCTCTGTACCAAGAAAACAAAGAAAGTAAATATTGATCTGGAAAATGATCTAGCTCAGATGGCTGGAGCACAGTCTGTGAGCAAGAGCCTCAGGTTCCATCATCAGGACCATTTGGTGTACCACTTGATCCTCTGTGCACTACCAGTAGTCACTTATGAGCACAGAGCCAGGAATAGAGCTTGAGCACTGCCAGGCACGGACAGAGAAAATTAAATCAACTTATAATTGATAATGGGAAACAAGATATGAGATACAAGAAAATTTGAATGACAATAAAGTAATTGTTAAAAGATTCCATATGATAGCACTTGGTAAAACTGAAATTAGTGGTATAAGCAGTACATCTAAGTTCGTCACTGTTAGAGAAATTGTGTGGAGGAGCAGGCATTTATGCCAATTTAACGCAAAACCAAATGCTCAAATTGACACAAGGGAAGATTTTACATAAGTCAATGGAAATGTTTTCAGGAAAAAACCACAGTAACATCTTATAGACATGTATGCAATCTTGCTCTCCTTTTAAGGATAAATTATGTAAACTACTTAGTCTGTCATCAAATCAAAAAACGCTGCTTCTTATTCAAAGGCTACAAACTTATAGCACACCAAGTCTACAAATATATTTTCTTTTGTCACCTTTTTTTAATAACACACAAGTAAATTTTTCAGAACTAAAAGATTTCATAGGTTTTACAAATCAGGGTCTCTGGTTTCTCTTGAAAAATCCTGAAGATTTGCAAAAATGGGACTTGCATTTCCTAAACACAAATCTACTGAGACTGAACAGTTACTGCTATTTCCTTTATACTTGACCTCAATCAACAAGGTCTCCACCAACTCATTCAGGACTTTCAGATTTACTTACATACAGTGCATACCCTGGCTGCCACCTTGCAGAGTTTTGCGTTTAAAATTGTTCAAACCCTAGGGAAACGCTCCATTTGCTCCAGTACTTGGAGGAAAAAGAGATACCTTTGGGACAGACCCATCAAGAGAATACCTGAGTCAGACTGGGAATGAGTAATCAGGTAATCAGGGAAGCTTTGAAGAAAAAAAAATAGTAAAGGCATCTTGTTGCCCTTGTCTCTCTCACCTTTAATCCTTCCTCAGAATACTAGATAAAAGGACTTATGGTTTTGCTAAGCAGTTTATGCTTTGAAAGGCTAAATGTGTAGCCCAGTGAAAAGATTAGCAAGTTTAATCTCTATTTTAGCCAAAAAGTTGCCTTTCCGATATCCCCTGCTCATGGGTCGGGAGACTTAACATTGTCAAAATGGCAATACTACCGAAAGCATTGTATAAATTCAATGCAATCCCTATAAGGATACCCATGACATTCTTCAAAGAAATGGAGCAAACACTCTTGAAATTTATATGGAACAATAAGCCCCCACGAATAGCTAAAGCAATTCTTGGGAAAAAGAAAATGGGAGGAATCAACCTCCCGAACTTCAAACTGTACTACAAAGCAGTAATAATTAAAACAGCATGGTACTGGAACAAAGGCAGAACTGCAGACCAATGGAACAGGGTTGAATACACTGACATTTCTCCTCAATCATATGCTCATCTAATCTTTGATAAAGGTGCAAGTAATGTGAAGTGGAGTAAGGAAAGCCTCTTTAATAAATTGTGTTGGCATCACTGGACGGCTACATGCAAAAAAATAGGCTCAGAACTCTGCCTAACACCATGTACAAAAGTAAGATCAAAATGGATTAAAGACCTCAACATCAGACCAGAAACCATAAGGTACATTGAAGACAAAGTTGGCAAAACCCTCCATGACATTGAAGCTAATGGTATCTTCAAAGATGCCACGCCACTGGCCGAGCAAGTGAAAACAGAGATAGATAAATGGGACTATCTTAAACTAAGAAGCTTCTGCACCTCCAAAGAAACAGTGACCAAAATACAAAGACAGTCTACAGAATGGGAAAGGATATTCACCGAATACACATCTGACAAGGGGTTGATATCCAGGATATACAAAATACTGGTTAAACTCCACAAGAAGAAAACATCCAACCCCATCCAAAAATGGGGCAATGAAATGAACAGAAACTTTCTCAAAGAAGAAATCCGAATGGCAAAAAAGCACATGAGAAAATGCTCTACATCATTAATCATCAGGGAGATGCAGATCAAAACCACAATGAGATACCATCTCACACCTCAGAGACTGGCCCAAATTCAAAAGAACAAAAGCAACCGATGCTGGCGTGGATGTGGCGAGAAAGGGACACTCCTTCACTGTTGGTGGGAATGTCCACTGGTTCAGCCCTTCTGGAAAACAGTATGGACGATTCTCAAAAAATTAGAAATTGAGCTCCCATTTGACCCAGCAATACCACTCCTGGGAATATATCCCAGAGAGGCAAAAATGTATAGTCGAAGTGACATCTGCACTTGTTTGTTCATTGCAGCCCTCTTTACAATAGCCAGAAACTGGAAGAAACCTGAATGCCCAAGAACAGATGACTGGTTAAAGAAACTTTGGTACATCTACACAATGGAGTACTATGTAGCTC